TTCTAGGGCCATCAATCACTGATAACACTAAACTGATGAGCGGTAAAAGCTTTTAAAGCGTCGCCTATGGCCAATTTTGGGTATGCTAGTTTTTTGCGAGTGCGCGCAATTTTTACGCTTGACATGTTTGGTGTCTATTTACCCGACGTGACCCCGTCTTTTATATTTTACCAAAAAAGTGGGTAATATTAGTTGTTTTATAACATAATGTAAAAAAAATTTTTCAGTAATTTCTCCTAATTATAGTAAAAAATAAAACCCTAGTGGTGATTAAATACCACCAAAAGAAAGCTCTATCTGTCCCCAAAAAATGGTGTAAAATTAATTTCAGTACAGCGCTGCATGACGGAATAAATGTCAGTCAAAGTACCGCAGCGCTGAACACTGAAAAATGGCCTGGCCAGGAAGGGGGTCTAAACACCTGGTCTTCAAGCAGTTAAGGGTGGTTCCAGTTTGACTTCTTTAGAGTCCTATGCAGAAACAGAAATTCGAGTGCCAAACTATCAATTGCCAAGTCCGCAAACTTTAGGCCAGGTTCACCCCTGGGCGATCCCGGGACACGCGTTCGTACACGATCACGTACGGCGGTTGCCGCGCGGCCCTATTGATTTCAATGGGGTTATATCCGCACGGAATATTGCTGAAAAAAGGTACATGTACCCTTTTTTGCGACACGCGATGCGCGTTTTTTCATCCGCGATAATGCGCGATTGCACAGGTGGAATCGCAGCGGGGAAACACGCGATCTGCCTGCCGTGATTGGGTTGCCATTAGAAAAGGATGGCAGCGCCAGAGCGATCAGCCTTGATGTGTGCTTCCGTGACCTCACAGATGGCTGCACGATCCCGGATCGCCTAAGTGTGAACCGGGCCTTCTTGCTGAAAGCGATCTGACAACATGAAGACAGACAATTGCCAACGTGTTTCTGGAGCCTGAAATTCCCCCTTCACTGGGACTTAATAAAAAATACTGGGGGTTTTAAAAGAGAACTATGGGGTCAGTGTTTTTCCCCATAGTTCTCTTAAGGGTCACGGGAGGACATATACTAACCTCCTCCCGTGATCCAAAGCTCAGTATATCGCGAGCTACAGCTCGCAGTATACTGAGACTGCCGCAGCGGGGACAGATCCCGACAATGCTGCTGAGATCCGCCCAGCTGCATGAGTGACAGCTGGCTCTGCCTATCTAGAGGCAGAGCCAGTTGTGCCCGCCCCTTCCAATGTCTGTTCCGTCAGTCAGCGCTGGAGGATCGGAGCAGGGAGGGGGGAATGCCTACGGGGAGTGGTGACTGACAGTCACCGCTCTCTGCAGGGACATGATCGAGAGGTGAGCGAGCGACGGTATGCATTCGCTCACTTCCTGATCTATAGAGCCGAAGTGTGACAGTTTCATTGTCACACGTCGGCTCGAACTGTGAGGATGAGTGATTTTGATTCACCTCATAGTTCTCCTTTAATGGACTCCTGCCTACAGGCTCTTGAGACGTATTCTTAGTTTTCTAGCCAGAGCAAAAAAAAAAACAATGTACATATTGTACCCGTGTGTTGTTTAGAGTATGGACAGGGTCTCTTTAAATAGACCCCCCCAAACATGCAATTCACAAATGAGTTCAGTAAAACCCTGGGTTGGTTTCTAATTGCTGATATGGGAGTGCTCACCGCAGTGGGATCACATTGTGTGCAATGGCACACAATGGTGCGCGACAGGTTTCGTTGGTGGCTACAGGCCACCAACATCGTGCAAGATTATTTTTACTCCTGATCCAGCATCCAGAAGCTATAGGCAGACGGGGGAAAGTCTTTCCTCACTTTGTACAGACAATTCTGCCTTTAAATATCTTGGAAGAATGCTGGGAATGCTCTGCGCATGGAGGATCAGCTGCTGCTTCTATGTAGTGTTTAGTCTACAGGACTCAGCTGACACCTGTAGCTACGCTCCATGCACTGCTGCCTCAACCCACTAGAGGTCTCAACACGACCTCTTTGTAGTAGATCCAGATGGAAAGCATGAGCCATCGTCACCATCAAGCCTGAGTTTATCAGTTTTAAGGAAAGGAAGCTATTGCCTTTTTAAAGTGTATTTATTTATTATATATTTATAATTTATTTATTTATTTGTAATATATTTATGTCAAAAGGATCTGCCTCATATATGTAATGTTCACTGTCTGTTATTGTTTATAAATATATATGTACATGGGGCAGAATGATTTATATGTATAGAGTCACTATGTTGCCCAGAAGAAGGGACCCTGCGTGGCCCCGAAACATTGGCTGTATGACGCATGTGACGATTTAATAAAAAGTGCTTTACTTCTTGCACATATCATCGAATGCTGGTGACTTCTATTATGGACTGTATTTGACACAGCGCCGTCCGTGTTGTCACTTCAAACACCAATCTTTCATCCGAGGTCTGCACGCTGCATGGAGTGCAGGTGATTTCGTATTAGTGATTACAAGGCAGGTATGATACTGTCAAAGAGAAGGTGGCAACCACACTGGTCAGAGACCAGCATACATAACATCTTCAGCTGACTGGTGGTCTCAGTTGGGGAAGAGAATCCCAGACCTGTAGATTAAGGTATTACTGCCCGTTGGAACCTTTTGTTTCAAAAACAGCTCACAGATTGTTTTATGTGTTGGAGGATCTGTTTTTTACCAAAAGCCAGTTCAGAAAAGAGGTGGAACCAACTGAATGGGGTCCTCTACCCATGGACTACAATCTCAATACAAATCAGTAACATAAACATGAGATTGTAGTCCATCATGGGAGTGAGCTTGGAGCGGTGACTACTCTACAACACACACAGGGACCATGGGGAACAAAAGTGTCAGCACCAATTCTGAGATGATTTGAGGATCTACACCTGAATGATGCACAAATAAAGTCCAGTATTGATCCAGTATTGTTAATTAAGGTACTTGAATGCATTTTTAAGGTTTAACTCCTGAGTTTAGTGTCACTGTAACTTGCTGGTGATAATTCACACTTAGTGGAGGGCTGTAGCTATAGGTTTGGCCAGTAGATGCTACACATGATCGGCCGAAGCTACGGCCAGATCCTTCGGCAGCTTTGTGAATAGACCCCAATGTGTCTTAGGATTGGAACCAGGAACATGCAGATAGTGGGGGAGCTAGACCTTTTGTCACCCGGCACAAAGGCTCAGAGTTGCTCCCCCACCAAGGGAGAAGTTCTCCATCTACACACCCAGTGGCACCCCTCCTAAATTTGAGATGGGATCCACAGGTGCTTAACTCAAGGTAAATACCTGAAGACCCTCTGATTAGCGAACAGAGTTGAAGTAACAACATGAGCCACTGAAAAAGAGGCACCCAATTAGAAGGTTGGAGAGTTGTTGAGGACAAATAGTGGTGGGCTGTTACAAGTCACTAGAGCTACATAATTGCTCAGCTGGAAGATGTTGGTGGAGGAAAGTGGTGGAGGTCCCAAATGACAGGGTCAGAAGCAATTCAGCAAGCAGCAAGTGTGGTCCAGTGTACATGCCAGAGGTCAGCAAAAAATATCAGGCCTATGAACCCTTATTTAGCTTAGAGCAGCTTGGCTACTGCAGATGCGCATGCATGTAGTGTTAGGCGAGGCACCTGCAGTAACATGCAGAGGTGAGGATTGAACTGTTCATTTAGCTGCAAAGAACTAGCAATAATACATAAGTGGTGTATTTCTGGTTGTTTCATATTGTTCTGAAAAGAAACTTATGATAATACTGATAAATGATATAACCATATGATGAAGCATATTGCAGAACAGGTTTTTATGAATGACACATTGTTAAAATGTGCTTAAAATGATACTGCAAATGTGTCAGCTGATTAATATTATCGGCTGCCACTTTCAACACATTTTCACACGTGTCGGAGATAAATCATTTCATACTGAGGGACTAATTAAATGAAGAAAAAAAATAAGAGAATAGTAGAGGGAAAGTAGGAGAGGAGAGAAGTGGAAAAGTAGGAGAGGAGAAGAAAAGGAGGAGAAATAAAAGGGAAGAGGAAGAGTGGAGAGGAAAGGAAAAGGAAGAAAGGAGAGGAAAGGATAAGGAAGAGAGGAGAGGAAAGGATAAGGAAGAGAGAAGAGGAAAGGAAAAGGAAAGGATAAGGAAGAGAGGAGAGTAAAACAAAGTAAAAGAAAGAGAGGAAGTGAGGAAAAGGTTGAAAGAACAGTAAAGGAATAGGGGAGAGAGGGGAAGAAATAATAGTAAAAGGAAGAGAGGAAAGGAATAGAAACAAATAAAATGGGATGGAATTAATATGAAGAGAGGACAGGAAAGTAAAGGAAAAGAGGAAAGGGTTGGACCGAAAAAGACAGAGAGGAAATGAGAGGAAAGTAAAGGGGGGGGGGGGGGGGG